TCCCAATGTCAAGTACTGCTTAAAAATCAATGTCTTCCTTAAAACTTTCCGGATCCACTGTGTCCCTGAGCATCTCACTGGAGGCTCTAGCCAGTGCCCTCTGGCTCCAAAGGACGCACATTACCTTCTCTACAGTGTAGATGGTGCCGGTTCTGCTCCCCAGCCGGTGTTTTCTGAGTCCTTCTGAATCTGTGACTCTTCTCCAGCCACATTCCTCTTCTCTGTCCATTCTTATGAGAAAGCATCTCAGTGGCTGTGTTCTCTGACCACAGAAACATAGCCCAATTAATTAGGGAGACTAAACTAATGTGTTCCATAAATGAGTTTCTCTTGTGGTTCCTTAATGCTTAACAAGATTTGATCAACACTTTGGAGTTTTTCTTGAGCCTAGCTGGGGCTTTGATCTACAAATCCTTTAGCTTCCCAAAGCTTAATCTTATTCCTTAGGAGAAACTACTTCGGCTGTGAGAAATTCTAGCTTAGGGTGAGCTGCTTTTTCAAGGCCATTAAGGATTGCTTCAATTGAGAAAGACTGGTTGTAGGCAAACGTGTAGGGCATTTTCTTAACGAGTGATTAATTGGGGAGACCATGACCAGACCATGGTAGGTGGTGCTGTTGCTGGGCTGGTGGTCCTTGAGTCTCTAAGAAAGCAGCTGAACAATCCATAAGGATCAACCTCCATGTCCAATCTCCACGGATGTGAAAGGACAAAGAAAGGGAGCCTTCCGGGTCTTTGATGTGCAGAGCAGTCCAGGCCATGCTGTCATAAGCAACATTCCTGCTACTTGTTCCATCCATTGGACTGGCAGATTCTGATGTTACAGAGTTCTCATACTGGTGGTTTCAAGTCCAGAGAAGGGAGTTCTGGAAAGCCTTGCATCAGTAATTCAATATCAGGAAAAAAAAAAAAACAAAAATAAAAACAAACAAACAAAAAAGAAAAAGCAACCTGTATCATATTTACTCTTTTGTACCAACCAGTTACAGGATTTTGTTCAGCCATAAGGAACCCAGGAAGTAGGAAGAGGGAGAGCTGAAAAAAGACGAGAACATCAATGACGTTCATGTGGATGTAAGAGAAGTCCAGCTAGTTGCTATTAGTAACATCACTGTATTAATTACTATATTAATTACTGTGTTAATTACCATGACCAAGACAACTAACAGATAAAAAGAGCTTATTTAGTTTCATGGTTCCAGAGAGATAAAAGTCCACTATGGCAGAGGAGCACGACCACAAGGGGCAGACATAGTGGCCAAGCTGGAAGCTGAGGGGGCATCTTCACTCACAAGCACCAAGCAGAGAGAGTGAGCTGGAAGTGTTGTGAGGTGTACTGGCTAGTTTTACATCAACTTGCCACAAGCTAGAGTCATCAGTTAGGAGGAAGCTTCAGCTGAGAAAATGCTTTCATACGATTGGCTGTAGGCAAACATGTAGGGCATTTTCTTAATGAGTGTTTAATGGGGGAGGGTCAAGCCCATTGTGGGTGGTGCTATTCCTGGGGTGATGGTCCTTGGTTTTATAAGAAAGCAGGCTGAACAATGGATAAGGATCAAGCCTGGAAGCAGCACCCTTCCAACCCTTCCGTAGCCTCTGTATCAGCTCCTGCCTTCCAGGTTCCTGTCCTGTTTGAGTTGCTGTCCTGGCTTCCTTCAATGATGGACTACTATGTGAAGTGTAAGCCAAAGAGATTCTTTCCTCTCCAACTTGCTTTTGGCCAGAGCATTCATGCAGCAATAGAAACCCTGGCTAAGACGTGAGGATTTTAAATCTCAGAGTCCTTCCCCAGTGACATACTTCCTCTAACAAGACTCCTAACCCCGCCCCCCAAACCTTCCCAAATAGCTTCCCTCCTACTGCAGACCAAGTATTCAAATGTCCCAAGACGACTGGGGACACTTCTCATTCAAACCACGATATTCACAAACCAGTGTCTGAATGAGACTAACCTGACTCAATTGCAGTTGACATTTGTAAATAAATCTGTGTTTTAATCAATAAAACCACTTTCATAATTTTGCTTCTAATTTTTCTGTATTCCTTTCGAATCATCCCCATAGCAAACAAAAACCCAGGTTCGAAGTTCTGGGCCTGCCATAGCTTTCTTGCTCAGAGCCTTAGCTTCAGGCTCTTTTTAAGTGTCTGCCCCACAACCTTCAGAAACAACCCTAGCCTCACCTATAGCCCCTAAAAGCGGCTTCACTACATTCTTGCTCTAATGCATGGCAGTAATACTCAAGAGCACCTCACTGATGGAGAGGAACCACCTTCTGTCTGCCAAGGACAAATTCAGACACACAAAGCAAGATCAAGCAAGACTTCACATCAAAGGGAACCCTGCTTGGGCTTGCCAAAGACAGGCTGCTTCTGAATCTCTCACTCCAGCCTTGTTAGGCTTCTTAAAGCCCAGGGGCCCGTGCTGTCCCAGCCAGGCCACCCCATTCAACTGGAACTCTGGTTCTCTCTGATGCTGGAAGCTCAGGACACTCCCTCAACCTGGGCTCAACCACTTCAATACAGCAGAGTGCCAAGTGTTTACAATGTACGGTGATCAAGAAGAAAAAGCCATAGGAAATATTTACTCTGTGGTCTCTGTGTAAGAAAATAAAATACTCTTTAGTATAAGACATGGAAAGATTTCTGGGGTCAAAAAGCACAAGAAGTAAATTGACCTATTGAGGCAGGCAGGAGCTTCAGAGAAGGCAGAGCACATGGCAAGCAGTGCTGAAATGGGCCCTGTCTCTGGGACCAGAAGAGAGAATAGTGTGCCAGGCAGGAGGTCTGGACAACTCTGAGTTGCACTTTAGAATCGCCATGAGTTCAGGTTCTGTAGCTCCTGGGAAAGGAGCAAATTCATTTTATACAGTGAACGAGGATGAGAAAAAACAGAAAGTGTGACTGGCAGAGATGAAGGGCTTAGATGCTTCAGAAAACAAGAAAGGCTTTCTGTTCTGGACACTCAAATACTCTCTTGGAGAGATCCAGTCATCAGCAAAGTACCATGGGAGTTCACAAATGTTTTAAAGTCAGACATTGTAAGAACTAGAAGGAGAATAAGCTTTTTTCCAAGTTACTGTTGTGTTTAATAGTAAAAGGAAAGTTTAAGAAAAATTAAAATTCTTCATTTTGAAACAATTTTAGGTCTACAAAAGAGTTACAAAAATAGCCTGAGAGTCCCTTATTCCCTTCACTCAGCTTCCTCCAATGTTACATCTTTACACAACCATGGATTTTTTAGAACCAGTGCATTGCCAAATTATTTTCTGAGTGAAGAAAATCTAAGACTCAGAAATACCAGGGGTCTTTTCCAGTCACACAGGTAGTTATGGAGTAGTCAGTGTGGCTCAGGATAGCCCATGATCAGAGCACACAGTCTGTAGCCTTATTAATTAACTTCAACCCTTTCCCTAAGATCTTCCACTATATAGCTAATCCCACTGTAGTATTCCAGCAACTTCCCAGAAAGGAGGTAATTAGAGAAAAAAGAAGAAAGGAGTCCAGAAGAAATGTCACATTTCTAGTAGTGCGGAGGAGGTGGAGAGACTGTCTTTTCAAACTTTTACCTTCTGAGCATATTGAGTGATTATTGACCAGGGGTCCATCAGGCATTTTGTGGTAACAACACAATTGCATCTTTTATTAGAGCTCATTAAAACAAGGCAGGTAATGGACCACAGCAGTGTTTTCAGTACCTAGACTTTGTTACAGAAATAAATCCATAGTGCATCATTGATGTAGATACGTTGAAATACCTTTACATTCATTTTAACTTTTATGTGGTGGTAGTTCTTTTGTCTATATAAAAGTGTGTGTTTGTTTCTAGCTTTTAATGTTAATAAATGAACACATATGTCACTATGCCAAAGTCTTTTTATTAATGTTTTATAATATCTTAATGTAATTGGATTCTTTATAATTATGTTTTACTTAGTAAAACTGTCTTAGTCACTGTTCTGTTGCCATGAAGAGACACCATGACTAAGGCAAATAATATAACATTTAATTCGGGGCTTGCTTACAGTGTCAGAAGGCATGCATGGCACTGGAACAGTAACTGACAATTACATCCTGATTCCCAAGCAAAGAGAGAGAACTGAGTCTGGCTTACGCTTTAGATACCTCAAAGCCAAACCTCCCAGTGACAAACTTTTCCCAACAAAGCCACACCTTCTAATCCTTCTGATCCTTTCAAATAGTTCAACTCCCTGGTGACTAAGCATTCAAATATATGAGCCTATGGGGGCCATTCTTATGTGTGCATAACCATGGCTAGCTTAAATGCTTCTCAACCTGTTCATTTCCCTACTGGGAATGTATCCTATACACAGCATTACAAAGATGATTTTTAAAGACATTCTCTAAAATATGATTTGAAACATAAAAAAGCTAGAGATAATATAAATGTCTACACTATACATACAGTTTTTACAATAAGTTATTCTGTATTCCAGAACAGTTTTATTTATTTGTTTGTTTGTCTTGCTTTTTCGAGACAAGGTTTCTCTGTGTAGCCCCGGCTATTGTGGATTTGCTTTGTTGACCAGGCTTACCTCTAACTCGAAGCAATCTTCCTGCCTCTGCCACCCAGAGTGCTGGGATTATAGGCATGCACCACCGTGCCCAGCTGAGGAACTGTATACTCAATTATACTCAATTAGAACAAACAACCATTTTGAGAATATGTAGTAGCAGGGAAAATTACATAAACATGTAAAACTGTACGCTTTTAATAACTCCGTTTTAGTTTGAAAATATTTGTTGCTTTTCGCTTTGATTGCATGTTAATGCATATGCACATAAATGCATATGTATGTTTTCCCATGAAGGAGGCTGGTGCCGATGTTCAGAGGTGGCACCTCGAAAGGGTAAGGAATAGAAGGAAGAACAAGTCATCAGCCTTGGACCCCAAGTGGCTGAAGGAGAGAATGTATTTGGTGTCTGCTGCATCTTTGCATCTTTCAATGATACCTTTGTCCATGTTACTGATCTTTCTGGCAGGGAAACCATCTGTGACTGGTGGAATGAAGGTAAAGCCTGGCCGAGATGAGTCCTCTCCATATGCAGTCATGTTGGCTGCCCAGGATGCAGCTCAGAGGTGCAAGGAGCTGGGCATCACTGCTCTGCACATCAAACTCCAGGCCACAGCGGGAAACAGAACCAAGACCCCTGGACCTAGAGCCCAGTCAGTCCCCAGAGCTCTTCCTCACTCAAGGATGAAGATTGGGCAGATTGGGGATGTCACTCCGTCCCCTCTGACAGCATTCTAAGGAAAGGAGGTCATCGTGGTTGCCATCTGTGAATAGGACTTCTCAAATTACTTTCTGTTAATAAATTGCTTTATGAAAGCTAAATAAATAAGTAAATAAAATGCATATGTATGAGAAATGGAAAAAAAATGAATGAAGTCATGAATACAGGGAGCCTGTGGATAGCCATATTTTGATGGCTGTATTTACTTCTTTCCCATGTCCTGGAATTAGAAAGTGGAGGACACTGTTTCCAAAAGATGAGCTATGCCCAGGCTGATGCCTGTTTGCATGCCTTTCTTCCTGTTCTAGAGAAGTTTGTTTTGCTGGTTGCTACTGAGCGTTATTTTTCCCTAACCTTTGCTCCCTTTCCCCACCCTTGGTTTCCAGATGTCTGATTTAACCAAGTTCAGGGCACTCATGTGCATTTTCCCTTCTCACTTGAACAGAAAGTCCAGAAACTGCATGGAGGCTGCCAATCTGACAGAGTGAGCACAGACATGCATGTCAACCGAAGGTCTCCTGGCATTATGCAAACACTTCAATGAAGGAATTTGAAGTTTTTATAGACAAAGTGGGGGGTGAGCTTGAAATCACATGGGATATGAGGTGGCATCTGCCCCTCTTCCTTCCCTGCTTGTGACTGCTTCTGTTGGAGAGACGGCATATGTTGTCAGGGTCAGGAAGAGAGAAGAGGATTCTGCAGCTGCTTAACCTTCTGCTAACATCTGGTTACAACTGATGTATTTCCAAACTTGCAGAAGTTTGTTAGTGTTAAATATACAAGTTGGCTGGAAAATAACCTGTTTAGCAAAAACATAGCTCTATATGGGTTTACCTTGAAAGTGAGAAATGTAAGAGTTTCTTTTTCTTCCTTCCTATTTATTAATGTTGTCTGTTCCTTGAAATTGCAAGTAAAATTCTGAAAACATTAGATTCCGTTTCTGCTCTTTTTCTTAAGCTTGGATCGGTTTTCTCCTGGGTGAAGTTTAAAATAATAAAAACTGGGAAACCATTTGCTCAATGCCTCCTGTTGCATAGCAATGTAAACAAACAGGCCCCTTTCCTCTGCTCAGAACATCCAGTGAAACAAACCACAAAGGTTGTGTTTTAAAAGATGATTTCCAAGATTTCTTTTTTTAAAAACTTCCTTTAAAAAAAAAAGGAGGTTTGGTTTGGTTTGGTTTTTAGACAAAAGCACTCAATGGACTTTTCAGGGAGCCACACTTACACAGCTGCACAGACTGAAAAATGTTGTCATTAGTTGGGTATGATGGAAGATTGTGAAGAGTCTGAGGCCAGCCTGGGCTACATGCAAGGCCTTGTCTCAAAGAAATAACAACACAAACATTAAAAACAGGAAGTTCTTCCTTTACTGTGTGTCCAGAAGAGCGGGGCTGGACACAAGCCACCCAACTCAGGAAAAAAACAGGAGCAACCATGCCCTAGTAGGCTAGTTTCTGTGCTGCCAGGCTGCCTTTCTCCGTATAGAGCTCCTCTGGGCCATCTTGTGCCCCTCTACCCTTTCCTGGCCTCCAAGATAGTAGCAGAGAGCTTACTTGCTCGAGGGCCCTAGCAAAGAGAGATGGGGGAGGGTAAAATGGGCTATTTGTTTTCCTGGCTCCCTCCCTGCTTGTCATGGGCAGTTTGGCTGTGTCCCTTTACTCAGAGCGACAGGCAGCTTCTTCCAGGCAGCCTTCCTCATAACATCTATCCCTCCTGGGCTTGAGGAATTTCTCTTTCCTCCTTGCCCCTTCAGGCCTACTGCCAGGAAGAGTAGAATGATCCAGTATTGGTAGCCCCTACTGAAGTTCATTTTCTTGTTGAGTCTTCCCGTAAGGCCTGTTGGGCAATCCATTGGGTATCACTTTATCATATATCCTCTAGTATCTTAGAAACATTACTGACGATTTCATTTGTCTTTATAAAATCATGAGTTCTGGCACCACATAGCTCTGGCATTGATTGTAATCTCTGTCAATGTGGAAAGTTCACATGAATTATTAACCTGGCAGAGCAGCCCTGGATTTAAAAAATGAATGGGAAACAGGAATTGCCCATCTTGCACGGCACAGTGAGAACTCAAAACTCTTAATATAAACTATGGCAGATGAATAATTTTATTAGCTCCTTTTCTAAAGCAAATGACCAAAAAAGTAGTCAAAATTTACTAGTGCCTATTATTATTATATACTGTTCTAAGCATTTTAAACATATTCCTTTACAGCAATTCTGTAGAGTATTTTGTCTATGGAGACACTTGAGGGATAAAGAGTACAGGAAACTTTACTAAAGTTTACTAGGACATAGAGATTACTAAATTCCAATTAGATTGTGGGGTTTTCAAGGCAAAGACCCCCTCATATGACACATTTCATCTTGCTTTTCAGAGTGTCATATGATGTCATCCATATAGTAGGTGTTCAATAAATGTTGGTTTTATACCAAGAGCAGAGGCAGTTAAACTAGTTTTACAATAGGCAGAAGGCCAGAAACATGAATGGCCAAGCAGCAGCTGCTTTTGCATAGCCCAGTAGCCTACGTAACTAAGAGCTTGCAGGCCTAAGCTCTGATAACAAAGGGTTAGGCTGCTGCAAGCAGAGACTGGAGAGCAATGGGAGGGCAGGTGGTAAGGCATGAAACTTGAGCTTAGGACGATGGAAAGCTCCACAGACTAAGCCTGAGCAATTCTCAGCATGACTCTTGGCCCCAGTGAGACAATCAACGTTATTTCATGGTCATGGTGAAACCATCTTTAAGAATACCTAGCCCCTGGTTGATCAGACCTTCCTGCTGCTTTCTTCACAGAGCTTTCTGGAATTTCTGTTAAAGTATTCAGATCCCAGAATCTTTCTCCACCAGCAGTATGCCTGCTCACATAAAGCCTGGGACATATGGCTGAGCATCTGGGAGGGGGCAGATTGTCCAGGAGTGCTGGCAAATGGCACATGCTTTCATTATAATGGATGTGTCACAGTAAATCATGTTAGAAATGTTCCCTCCCCTCTTCTTTGCGCAGAGAAACATAAAGGAAGACAAATTACTCAAGGCACTATGACACTGTTGAATACGCCAAAGCCTGGGCTAGAGACACTCACTGACATCTCCTTAAATATCTTTTTAATATCTTGGCCAGATCAGACATACCAATGGCATTACAAAGTTTGCAAAATCAATGCCCCAGCTGTTTTGGTTTTTTAATAAAACTGAATATGATCTATTTAAAATGATTGTTTTCTACAGGGCTTTCCCAGAACAGGGCTGCGGGCAGCCCTGAAGGCAGGTCTTGGCTCTGAAAGAGGTTCTCTTTCTAGATTCCACTGGGGGAGGGGGGAAGAGAAGCCAGGCATCTGCAGGATTAGTATTGTCAGCCTTTCCCTCTCCCCCTAGCCTCACAAATGTGCACTTGGTGATGAGTTTACCAAAACTTGGTGATGAGTTACTGAGGAATCTTAAGGTTTCAGTTTTTCAAAATCAGTTTCTCCATCTGGGATCAGTTCAAATGATTTGTTCATAATTTTATGAGAAGTCCTAGCCCAGGCAAAGCCTTTTTAGAACTCTACTGCCATGGTGGAAACCAAAAGAGATTCTATAAAAATTTTAACCTTATGGGCATGATTCTCATTCCAAGAAAAAAATAAAAGGAGGTACATAAAATTGCCACCACAGCAACTGCAATGTCCACAGTTCCCAAAGCTCTCAAAGTTCTCATGCAAAAGGGAAGTAGTCTTATCAAGTTTGTGGTCCAAACAGAAAACCTCAATCCAAGTGCCCATCGCAGTTTTATAATGTTGCTAGTTGAATGCAATTCATTAGGGTCATAAATGTGATACTACAATAAACAGACAAGTCTTTTTGAGGATGTGTTTGAAGATTATTTTGCTAGTTTTGAGACATTAGAGTATGATCAGAAATGTATCACCCATTCTTGCACTTTGCTTTTATTGGCTGCAGTTGATACAAAATATCTAAGCACACCCGACCCCTTTTTTTCTAACATTTTGCCTGGGCTACTTGATTGCAAATCTGTGTTCCCTTTGGCCTGGCCAGAGGAGAAAATGGGGCCTCTCTGGAGCCTTTCTTTGCCTTCTCAGCCTTGGCTTCACATCAGATCATCCCAAGCAACTGAAATACAGCCTTCTCTCTTTTTTTTCCTCCTCTCCTTTCTTCCCTCTTCTTTTTTTTCCCTTTCCTCATTTTTTTCCTAACCACAGGCAAAGGACTCTCTCCCTAATTCTCTAAAGCTATCTATTCCTGAATTTTTTCCTTAACCACAGAAGAGAAGATTGAATAGCTGAGGTCAGGAAGTATGGAAAGAATGTCAACAATTTACCACTAAAATATACATTAAGACTATTTCCAGCAGTTTAATCTCCAGGTTGAATTTCTAAATCTAGATTTCTCTTGTCACATGACTTTCCATTTTCACATTTATTTGTGCCACTTTCAGCCTCAATTTATCTCGTCCTAAATGAACTCTCTGTGGAAGGTAGAACTGAACAAAAGTAAACAAGCCATATAACCCTCAAAAGGGTGAGGTTAAAACAGCCATCTTCCTCAGAAACCAGCATAAAAATATCATTAAATTTTTTAAAATTATATTTATTTGTTTATTCATTCATTCATTCATTCATTTTGTGCACATATCTGTGCTCTATTTGAGTGTAGTTTTGTTCCTCAGCTGTCCCAGTTTGGTAAATAAATGACAATAAGTATAGCTGTATTAAATTTGTTTAGTCTTTGAATCTGAAAGCACACATTCTATAGGTTCATTCTTTCTGAGTCCAAGTTTTAAGGGACTAAAGCTGTCTGCAGAGGAAGGCTCTAATGACCTTTATCACATCTCCTTTAGTTATAAGAACATCATATATTATTTCTTAGTGTGTGAACTTTCTTTAGAGATATTATTCCCACCTCTATCTCCTTTCTTTACAGGATTTAGTACCCAAAAGTTATTGTCTTGTTCAACATTTCTCTACACATTCCTAAATTTGGGGCATTAAAGTTTGAAAGCCAAGAAATAATTATCAAATATAAGAATAGTCTGATAGGTTGGTATGAGGCTCTCTTCTTACTTGACCTCTGTGGTGCTTGTTATTTCTTGTCTATCACAATCCATTCTGAATTCCATTCAAAATTTAGTTTCCTGTTAAAGAACTGTATTCCCCTCATTGTATGAGATCTCAATGGTTTAGTTTGAATGCCCATTTCCTACTCTGGGAACTGAAACAAAAAGTAATTTTGCACAAATAATGTATGTTTTATTTCATGTGCAGAATCTAGACTTTTTATTTTTTTTACAAAAACATGCAATTAGGAGGATAATTAGTTGGTGGGTTGGGAGAATAAGAAGAAAAAGGAAGAAGACAGAAAAGGCTGATGGGGTAAAATATTATTAAAGCGTATTATATTTATGTATGGAAAGTCATAATAAAATCATTATCTTGTATAATTAGTACACACTAATAAAAAAGGTCCTGTCTCACAGAGCTGTCATATATATATAAAAGACGCCTTTGTTTTCTCCATTGATTAAAGAATTAAAAGGCAGGAAAAGTTTGAAAGTGAAGCAAAGACAAAGTTTATTCAAAGAGGACATTTCATTAGAGTTTAAAAGAATATTCCAAGGCAGGCATGCTGTAAATCATAGCAGCTGCCCAGAGGAAGAAAACGGAAGAAAGAACAACTGATGGCTTCTGGGGACTGTGCTACAGTGCATGTACAGTTTCTCATCAAAAAGAATTATTATTCTGCTTATTTTTTTTTTTTTTTTAGCATAGCTTAGGTGAG